TAGGAGGATATAGGAAATGCAAATAGCCCAGGGCAGAAGGGAAGATACCACAACTGTTTAGCACACGATTAGTCAAAGGATCAGATTCATTTGTCTGTTTGACGAGTTGTTGTATTGTGCTACAATTGGTGATACTCACTGACGATGGCGACTGCGATGCCGGTGAAGGGTCTGGAAGTGTACCACGTCCACGGTTCGACTTTGGAAATGATCCTGCATACAATGGACTCCGGACTAGGTGCGTTCCTCTAAGTCTTCCTACCAATATGACCAAATCACGAAAACAAAGTCAAACGTCCTCTATACAACGAAAGGAGACTGCGACCACACAAAAGGCCACACCATCTTGGTCTTCATAACTTCGATTAATGAATTATTGTTTTAAAATAATATATTCCTTAATCTGCTGATTTCCTGGTACCTGTGATTTACGTCTGCTTGACGCTGAACATTATAATAATATATTTAATAACTTCTACTTCAACTTTATTTGCATGAGTAAATAAGAAATTAATTAAGAAAATTGCGTCTATTGGTTTGCTATACACTTCTCTATCCTTCTTTTCTCTCTAGTACATCCAGAACTGGCAGTTTATTCTCCTTTTCCAACTCCATATTATATTTTATAATTTAATTTAATCTATTTATTTGCCTAAGGAATTCTTCCAATCTATCTTTGCCGTGTTACCAAACAGCAAACTATTCGTTTTACACCTACCAATAACGCTAGAGCTAAGAGAGCCTCTTAAAACAAATTAACCCCTAGATCTCTAATATCCCATGGCCAAACCCCATGTTTTCTCATATGACTTACCATTGCATGTAAAATGCGAACTATTCATAGCCAGGTTGATTAATTTAATGATTAAATCTCTGTCTAACTTTTAACCCGTTATGGTCTTAAGATGTTATTATAAGCTTAACCCTAAAGTTGCTATTACCTCGTTTATCATACATAGACTCTAAATCAAAGCATACCAGCATTTCTTCTCTTTCTATCGCATGATCATCCACTAGTTTTATAAAATCGTATAATTTCCTTATTGAAAACTCTCAAGTTTCAAAGATTTGCGTTAACTGAGTACAAATATATCGCGATGTGTATGCATCACCCTACCTCTATTATTCACAATTATCCTAAGTGGTGTACCTCTCTTTTCATAATTTTGGGCAGACCATACGAGTTTGGGTGTCTAGAATCTCACTGGAGAATTGTGTTCATTTTACACTTTTCCAGTTCTATGTTTACGCATTGCTACAAAAACCCTTAAATCTAGCCTTGTGGCCTTCTGTCGG